GTTAGAGTTAGGGATAGGTTTAAGGTTACTTTTAGGATTAGGGTTAGGGTTAGGTTCTGGATTAGGGTTAGGTTTAGGGTTTGGATTAGGCGAGGGTGAGAGTTAGGGGTAGGGTTACGGTGAGGGTGTAGGTAGAGTTAGGGTGAGGGTTAGTGTAGGGTTAGGGATTGGAGAGTTAGGGTTAGCTTTAGTGTGAGGGTTAGGGTTAGTTTTAGTGTTAGTGTTAGAGTGAGGGATATGGTTAGGGTTAGGGTTAGGGTTAGGGTTTGCATTTGCGTTAGGGTTAGGGTTAGGGTTAGTGTTAGGGTGAGAGTTAAAGTCATTTATAGATTCAATGCAATGCCAATCAAAATCCCCATGATTTTTGTCACAGAATTGGAAAAAAACATCCTAAGATTCATATGGAAGCACATAAGACCTTGGATAGCCAAAACAACCCTGCACACTAAGAGCAATGCCAGGGGGATTACTATACCAGATTTTAAGGTGTGTTACAGAGCTATAGTCATAAAAACAACATGGTACTGGCACAAAAATAGACCCATAGATCAATGGAACAAAATTGAAGACCCAAAGATGAGTAAATACAATTTCAGCCACCTGATATTTGACAAAGGGGTCAGGAATATGCACTGGAGGAAAGATAGCATGTTCAGCAAATGGTGCTTGCAAAACTGGATCTCCACCTGTAGCAGAATGAAACTAAACCCCTATCTTTCACCCTGCACAAAAGTCAATTCCAAGTGGATCAAAGACCTCAATGTAAAGCCTGAAACTCTGCAACTGTTAGAAGAAAACATTGGGAAAAACCTACAAGATATAGGCGTAAGAAAGGATTTTCTAAACTAGACATCAGTTGCTCAGGAAATAAGGGCAAGAATTAACAAATGGGACCTCATTAAACTAAAAAGCTTCTGTACATCAAATAAGGCAAGCAGGGAAATGAACAGAAAACCCACAGGATGGGAGAAAATCTTCACCATAGATACATCCAACAGAGGTTTAATTTCCAGAATATATAACGAACTCAAAAAACAGAGAACCAGGACAAGAAGCAACCCAATTAAGAGATGGACTAAGGAACTGAACAGAGAGTTCTCAAAAGAAGAAGTAAAGATGGCTATGAAACATCTTAAAAAATGTTCAACATCACTAATAATTAGGGAAATGCAAATTAAAACCACTTTAAGATTTCATCTTACCCCAGTCAGACTGGCTAAGATCAAGAAAACAAATGATACCAAATGTTGGAGAGGATGTGGGGAAAGGGGAACACTCATCCACTGCTGGTGGGCCTGCAAACTTGTTCAACCCCTATGGAAAGCAGTGTGGAGAACTCTTAGAAAACTACAAATGAACCTACCATTTGACCCAGTTATACCACTCCTTGGCATATACCCAAAGAACTCATCCTATTGCAGAGACACTTGTACATCCATGTTTGTTGCTGCTCTTTTCACAATAGCTAAGAGATGGAAGCAACCTAAGTGTCCCTCAATTGACGAGTGGATAATGAACATGTGGTTCATTTATACTATGGAGTTTTACTCAGCAATAAATAAAAATGAAATCATGAAATTTGCAGGTAAATGGATGGAACTAGAAACTGTTATACTACGTGAAGTAACACAGACTCAGAAAAAAAATCGACCTATGTTCTCCCTCATATGTGGATCCTAGAACCAAACCCTGATAAGTGTATATGTATGCAGACTTAACTACAGGAACCAGGATAATGGAAAGGAAACAGGGAGGTAAAGGAGAAGAAAGAACCTGAAAGAGAAGAACCATAGGGAACAGGCCTTAATAAGGGAGATATGGATAAAAATTGGGTTACTTTAAGGGAGTGGGGAGGGAAGGGTATACAAGGAACCTAGGGGATCAGGGGAAAGAAGGAGCTCAAAAGAGATAGGACTGTAGGAGAAGGGTATTATTAAGGGAGAAAGGGGGGAAATGGGGGCACCTTAAGTGGGAAAACTATGACGGAGGGGTGAGACAATCTAGACAAATGCCTAGCTAGTTTTGAAAACCAGAGTGAACCATATTTCTCCTACACCTACTAACAAATTATACATAGCAGATCAAGAAATATGTGTCTAGGTAAGGTTTATCTGAGAACAATTGGTTTTTGCCCAAGATTTATCTACATGACACACAGTAATTAAAAGTACCAGACTGGTGGAACTAACCTTCTTGGATGTTTAACAGAAATACTTTGAGGCCTATACTAATTTGGTCAGAGGGACATAAAGGACAGTTTTTGCTCCTTGCCCTCCCAAGTAGACTAGTTCCAGGGGAATATGATTATCTCTCAAATTTTTCTGTAATTGTGGAGGGTCACCTGTCCTCTTGATCAAGGAGGCTGAGGAGACCCCACCAGATGGACTTGAACCAATGTCCAGTCTACAAATAGGAGGGTCAACACAGTGGAGTCATTTCCTCCATGCTTCCAAGTGAAGCCAAAGATGGTCGAGTAGGACCTTTGACTTATCTTCACATAGGTGGAACTGGTAAAAGAAAGGAGCCAGGGGCTCCTCCTAAGCCCATGTGACCCCTTAGGAACAGATCCTCAAATAACCTTAAGAGTGAAAATAAATTGGTTTATCTGGGCCAACTGTATGGCCTTAAACATCCAAAAGGAAAGTATAACCAAAGATTAAAGGGGGTCAATATAATTTCTTAAGAGTCTATGCATGGCTAAAGGCTACATAACAAGCAACAATGCCAGATAGGAGATACCTTCTTTTGAGTTGTTGGCCAGGGTGGCCCAAGGCACTCCCAGATAGTAACCCAGCTGAGAACTGGGAAAATAAACAGCAGACCCCAATCTTATCTAAAGGAACATTGACAACTGATTGCTGCTGGAAGAGAAACAGCTGGCCCTCCTAAAACAAAGACCTCTAGATAAGCTGACTAGAGTCACCAGAAGGGCAAGTAGTGGGGAATGGCTGGGGGTGCTGACAACACAGCAGACAGTAGCAGGGATATCAGAGTACAAGGGCTCTAGTTGGGTGAGGGAGGCTATGGGAGGGTGCCATCTGGGAAGTGGGTGTATAGTCGAATGAGGTGGTTTGGGATGTTCTATGTGATATACACACACGCACACACACAAATCAACAAGTTTTTAAAAATGTATTATATTTGAGGAGGAAACATGGAAATTTACATCATGCTAATTAGTAGAGGTGATAAACAATACCATTGAAATCTACCCGATGACTTTATAGACACACACAGGCACCAGGGATCCAAGTGCAACCAATTATGACTAGTATTAATCAGATACATACAGATAGAGATGCATTCACCAACATGTCAGTGTTAGTAGCAAAAACAATGAGTCTTTCTGCAAGGAACAACATATTCTAAAATGAAAGGGAGATCTTTTTTAAAGGTTAAAAACTCATTCAATTTTATGTCTTACAGGGCTTATGCTGAGTTAAATATTGTATAACTGTATTAACTCAACTGTGAACCTAGAAACTTGCACCTACTTGTGAAAGAGATGGACTCTTGCACTGGAGTGTGTTACTGAATATGTTATAGCTGTAGTGAAATGCTTCTTCTAATCATGTGGTTATTAAATTTTAAAAAAATATGCTGTTTCCTAC